CTGCTCTTTTTTAATAGTTCCTCTAAGGCAATTGTTTTTTGTTCTCGACCGAAAAAAATGTCTATTTTTACCAGCCTACTCAGGGGCAGACTAACGCTCTAGCCACTGAGTTAAACGGCATATCTTTACATTGACGAAAATCTACATTTATCTACGCTAGTTTATATGGCACATAAATGTATACACGTATTTTGTACATTTTAGCTATTGTTATATTCATGTAACGGCTCGCTACGCTACGTGCTGCCAAGTATAGTCGAGCTAAACGGTTCGTTGGAACTAAATATTATAGTTATCGTTTACTTTATAACCTTAAATATTCATATGCCTCTGTCTTTTACACAAGCAGCAGAAACACGATGAACTAATATAAATTACAATAGACTAGTTAACATGGTCAATATTATGACTCAAAATTTTGAAGTTATAATATTTATAATTATTCAATATGTGACAAATAAGTGCGTAGTTGAAAATTAAGCATAAAAATCTCTGACAGGTTGAGTTTGAATTATTCCTGCACGTGTCTGAATCCAGTTATTTGTATTAGCTGATTTCCATTGCGGCTTCGCAACGGTTTTTTGGAATAATTATCATTTGAATGGGAGCGGTGGACGCTATTCTGTTGATTTTGTGCGCAGCAATCGCCCAACCGCCAGTTATCGCAGCTCGCCGCAGCGTGATACGATCCGGAAATAGTTCGGTTCATGCGTTTAATATATCACCGCTAGTAACGCTGCATTTGACAATCTACAATCATCTGAAGTACGTTTGTCTACGAGAAGATAGGCAATTGAGTAGTCGGTCTAATGATACGGGGTTTATAGATTCTTAGACTCTTTTAGAGAGTGGTCCCTGGTTATCTCACTTACCAGACAAAATGCAGAAGTTTAATACTTTCACTTCATGAAGGTATTATTTGAGGCCGTGGTACTTTTCCAAAGTAGCCTAAAAAAAGAAGTGGAAATTGGACCGAAAAGATTTTGCGGAGTTGTTACCGTCGCATTAATAAGCTATGTGCTGTTGAGGCAGTTACTGCTTTGGTCTACCACAGCCGCTAGTTGGACTGACTCAGCTGGCTCATATGGAAAAGTATTACAAACGAGCCAGCTCATAGATGAGGAATATCCTGTAGAGTATTAGTTAGCATTTTATTTGTTATCGTTTTCATGATCCAGACGTTCATAGGCCAACTTCTCACATAAAAAGGAGTCCTTAACCATCAGTGTTTTACTCTTCAGCTACTATGAAACTATCTACAACAGTGTACAGATGAAATTGCATCGAAAGAATGTATTGCAGCTGTTAAAACTGCAATACAAGCAAGCATGATTACTAAAACCAATTCAAATAGACATGCTTTCAGATCTAGTCCACTGAAAGTGGTAAAGTCATCAATGATTGAAAAAGCACTAATTCCTATTCTCTTTCTCCTGCCTTTGTCCCACCAGGTAGGGCCGGCATATTTTGAATCGAGTTTTTAATGATATTGGCTAGTTTTTTTACGACCGGCCACCTGGCACCGAAGTAATAACTTAGCATTGGTGCTATAGAGCGCACAATAATCACTTATGCGTGGTTTGAAACTCTTACATTATTATATATCGAGGTATAGATAGTATATTATTATAGAATGTGCCTTTGCTGACTACTTTAATTGATGATAGTGGCCAAAAATTTACCTGATGTTAATAAAATTTATCGGAATAAGCGCTCTTTACCATTAATTAATAAGCAATACTACATTGTTAATTCGAAACACATCCTCGCGTTTTGAAGGCAGGTCCAAACACGATCGATCGTGCACACAAGTGGATGTGGCCGGCTCGAAGCTGAAATATAAATACGGTAAACATTGCCCGGTAGCCAACTGTGCCGGCCTCATCTGCGAGCTGACGCGCGTCGCTCTGCGTACGTACAAACAGACAAATTACATAATAGACGTTTATAGCGGTCGTATAACGCGCTACATTATTCATGACGCCGCCTAGGGCCCTACCGAGCGCTTGACTGGCTAAATGCTTATTAACGGCGCGTGCACAGGCGCCCTAAATTTTGTCGCCAATTTTTCGTTAACGTATAATTATGCTGTTCTTTTTTCAAATGGGGACACGATTCTCATAAGCAGTTAAGAATGTCGGAGGACAAAATGGACACATGTAAGGAACATACTCGTATATAAGCAGAGTGTGATGTGCATGTCCGCGTGGATCTATCGAATTTCTTGGAAGAGCTAAAGTTGTATGGAACCTCCTACCACATTCATACTCATCTTACTCTAGTCACATGACTTCATCCCTTCTCTTTACGTGACCATACCATGTCAACGTGTAGTATAAGTTTATGAAAGGTGCAGCAAGCGATGTAAAAAAATTAATATAAAAGAAAATAAATTATGATACATAATTATAAATATAAGGAATATGTACAAAATATCATATAACTTTATATAAATATTACACACATTCCATCTTGATCGTTTCTATTAAGGGCTACATTATTGGGGCTATTGAATTCTGATGATTACTTAATACTGGTCTAAAGACTCGACAACGCCGTTTCAACAAAAAAAAATCTTCATAAATTAATTAGTAAAATTTCCAAAAGGCAAAATAGATTTGGGTCTATTCAAAATTGATTAATTAAGAACGCTGTAAAACATTCTAAACGATCAAAGCGTTGACTTTAAAGTTTATATGAAGACATCGCAACTTTATTAGCGGGCGCAATGGCGGATTAGGAAACTGTTTTAGAGCGATGAATGATTTAAAGGAGCTATGGTTTTTTAATGAAGATATTCTAATTGCAGTGGCTTTGCTACCACAATTGCTACGCCAAACCGGCGTGAAGTAAAAATATTTATTCTTTTGAAATTCCTATGGTGATTAAACACTTTCACTTCACACTTCACTATTGAGCAGCAACATGCTTAGTATTATGTGTGGAAGGATCAGCTTGCGGCCTTCACGATTAAGATAATTTGTCCTTAGCTAGCAATAATGCTTACTATGTACGAACATCTGGTATATATATATATATATATATATATATATATATATATATATATATACACACACACACACACATATATATATATATATATATATATATATATCCTAATTATTAAATATTATTCTTTTTTGATTATTTAGCGATCACAAGTACTTTACTGCCCTTGTCTCTGTTCTTCAGTCTCTGTTCTACCTAGGGTTAGCTGGTAGAGAATGCAATATAGCATTAAACTCGCCTTTGTACAATTTTAGTGCATAAAAGTAATGCAAAAAAAATATAGTACAAATAGAATTAGTCTAGCTATTCAAAGGGGTTACGCTGACAGTATCTTCGGAACCTTGCCTAAAGGGACTCCTTTTAATAACATATTTTAGTTATTACATTATTTTATTGTTTTTTTTTAAGGTTTTTAGTTTTAGTTTCATTGTTCTAGTATATATTTTGTATTAGTTTATCATTTGAATGTTATTTAAGTTTGCTTATAGCCTTTTACTAGATATTATTTTTAAAATCTTACAAAAAAATATATTTTGACAAGGAAAAAAAATAGTACAAGTTACCGCACCCACTAGGAAAGCCTGAATAATATTTTTTAGGACACATTTTTTACCGAACGTATCCTAGTCCCAAACTAAGCAGCGCCTGTACTATGGACATTGGAAATACACTATGTTCAACACACAGTATTTTTCCAGTAGTGGGGATCGAACCTACACCCCCAGACGCAAGAGGCAGGGTCATTAAACACTATGTCAATCGAGTCGTCAACAATGAATTTTTATTATTATCTTACATAAAGTGCGTTATAAAAATTGTTATTATTATATATATAAGCGTCGATTTTATTTCAGTAAAAAGTGAATATTTATAGAGTTCGTATAATGTAAAGAAAACTTAAATAGATTCACTAGCATGATGTGAGTACGTGCACCAGTGTAATTCAACTATATTTAATGTATATGGTATAATATCTAAAAGATACTTCTACAAGTTTTCTATGTCTGCGAAAGTTGCAGGCACTTTACGCAAATGCTCCACGATCTACGACCCTTGGAATTATAAGAATAAAGCCCATTTCAAATATAAAACAGTCAATAAAGGAGTACCCTTTGATGAAAGGGAAATGAGAAGTCCAATCTAAACTAATATACAGTCTTTATGCGTCTCTAATTGTACCCAAAAAGGTCTATTTCGCTTAATGAAATTATACGAATCGTATTGTTCCGTTGTTAGTGGATGCGAGGGGCTCGGTTGCTGCGTAGGTTGCCCTTGCCAACCAAAAATCAACCTTAGTTAAAGAAAACTTTCCGTGGTCGTTAATGCAGCAAACCTGGAACAAGAATGTACGTGGAAAGCTCAAGCCAGGCTTTTATTGCGCTCTGTATACGAGTTTTGCATTGTTACATATAACTTAGGGGTGCGCATTTAATGTGGCTTAAGTCGCGGTTAAGTAAGTTTTTGTAGTTCTTAAGAATATGCTAAGTAAGGCTCAAGTTTCGCTCACTTGTTAGCGTCTCGGTAAATTTTGTTACGCGGCCGTTTATTTTCGGTGACTTAGTGCTGTTTTCCTGAACTGAAATTTCCCAGTTCTTTATTTTAGGGACATCTACATTTTAAAGTCTCACCATCTGCTCACGAAACAGCTACGTGGTTTCTGATTATCACTTTATTTTTTTAAGTGAAAAAATAACTCTTGATTAAATATAATCTGTCATATATAATGTGCAAGTTTGTGTCAGCTCAGTGTAATTCTAGTTTTTTATATTCCACTGATATTTACCATACTTGAATAAAAATTCGTAGGTCATTATTACGTATTAAGATTACATAAATGTTATGCACGAAAGACGTATCGATTAATATCGTATTAGACCTATACCCACAACTAAAGTGCGCCTAATTCTCTAGGTGAGGCTGAGACGGTCGGCTAATGGAGTGCCCGGGGACCGAACACGCGACCCGCTAATGCTCCACGTCACGCGAGCACAATGGAGCGGCGAGACGAGTTGCACCGGCACTGCAGCGTAGCCAAGCAGACCATTCTGACCACGCACCCGAGCGGGCTGCAGACTCGAGTATCAGTGGAGCTGGCTAACTTCGACGCTCTCTGCCTACACTCGGAGTGCAAGGCGCCGGCCAAGAGGCCGATATGGGACAGCCCGTTCCTCAACCGGCGTGGCATGCTAGGCGGCGTCTCGGGCCACTCCACTCCGGTGCTGGGGCGCAGGAGTGACGCGGTGAACGAGGGCCGCCTCTCCCAGCAATGCACCCCCGTCATGAGGAGGCGGGAGGTGGACAGCCCTGGTGGCTCCCCGTTGCCGTCGAGACGCGCGTTGGATGAGGAGGAGGGCTGTGACGTAGACAACAGCGTGATCAGCGGCTGGCTGAAGTTTCGCGACAACAAGCGGGTGAGTGAATCAATGCTTATTACTGTACTGCGTCCGTTTTATAGTTAGTTATACTTGGATTTGTTCGAGTTACCTAAACTTGGATTTGTCCGAGTTTGTTAAATTTGGATTTGATTGGGAATATTTTAAGTAAAATCTAGAGCTGAGCAGAGGTCACGGTTCGCCAACAAAATGGGAAACATTTGTCTCTCTCTACATCTCCAGGTTTTTATAGAGTTTAGGTTAAAGCACACATTCATTATTATAAGAGTGCACTACAGCTACGTTATATACTAAATAGAAATAAATGGATAAGAGAACCGTAATGATTTGAATTTCTTCACACAAACGCTTTCATTTTCTTATTAAGGCAAAAAAACTTTTCTAAAATATTTTCAGCGAGAAACAGGGCTTCTTTTTAAACACCACCTAAAGAAAACAGTAAGGAGTTATGGCGAGGTGTCAACTTTGACTGGTCGAATAGAAAACGCGAGTTGTAACTAAGATATAATGAACTGCCTCAAATCTTAAGTACGCAGGGAAGTTAGGTAACACAGTAGAGGCATGAAGGTATGAGATGTAGAGTCGAGGGCGTTACGAGAGGCGGTAGTGAGCCCGCAACTGGGCTAAGGGCTTTTCAACTTATATCCTTAGTGATGTCCTGGAATGGCTACTGTTACTTGTATCATATCGATGAACATCCTTTTTAGCAGATATCACGACTCGTAAAAGGAATCCAGATTATAACACGGCAAACTTGTTAAATGTAGTTAAAAACAGAAACAAATAAGTTTCAATTAATTTGTTATGAAATACTCGCATAACATTTACTTTATTGATGCTTAATAATGAAATATATAAGAATGATATATAATATAAATAAAATATTATTATTATATATATTATATATAAATATTTATTTGACTGCAGCAAATATTTGGAAGCAATACAAATATTTCAAAGTCTTGAATGTATAACGATAAGATTTTTTAATAATAATTCGATAAGATATCCTTGAATAACACTCCCTTACTGCTCGAACATCAAAGCGATAGGCGAAAGCGTTTTGTGCTTGCGTGGCTGACTCGGCCTTAGTTCAGACGCCGCTAAATTGCCGACTCATTTATAACTCACTCCCGTCTCATTGGCGAACGCGTGTTTAGTGATCGGAGCACTGCAGGTGATTGCTGCCTGCAATGGGTTCTATTCTCGCGCTGAATCTGTACACATCTTAATTTAACATTTTCATTGTTAGAGTCTTGCTTAGCCAAATTATTGTAGATGGCAAGAAATGAAAAATTGTATGAACGTTTGTAATAATAGATATATCAAGAAACATGCAATTTTACATCCACAGTTGTTATCAGACCAATTCAGCTGATGGACTTGGTGAATATATCTGTAATATATAAAATTAAGTTTCAAATACATTACATATGCTATCTTAACTCTAGTACATATGTGACAAATAAACAAAAAAAATCACAGAATTTGAACTGAACTGTAACACTGAGTCCATGCTTCGGGAAAAGACAGAAATGGAGTATTTAGAGTGAAGTCACCCTAGCAAACAGAAACATTTCAATTGATCGCTGCGATTGTAATTACTCTGGCGCCTGAATCCGGAAACGTTTTAACGATCGCGAGGTCACCTTAGCGCGTAAATCATCGTTCCGCCAATAAATGCGGTCACCGACGAATTCTCGCCAATTGGCCGTGTCCCACGGCGGATTCGAATTTCGAATCCCGTTGCTGACGTATATCGTTCAAACCACGAAATAAAATTCCTATGTACGTAATAAAATCGTTTGCGGAAGAGATGTACAGGCGTTGAATCATCGCTGCATCGTTTGCAAATCAATTTATTGGACGGTATATATTTGCGGTTAGGGCAGGCGTTTTTTTTTTGTTTTTGATTATTTTTAATTCAACTGTCGTTTTCGCTTTTAGTTCGTAAACTATTAAGTCTTCATTGGACGAAGAACTCGTGGGCTAGGTTAACTGATTCATAGTTACTGATGCATTGTCAACCTTCAAGAGGTATTGAGTACGAATACTAAACGTCAAATTTAGAAAACAGACGAATCATTAGCATTCAACAATCTATCTACAAATAGATTTGGTTACTAGCGAAAGGCATTTTTCATTAGCTCCGTAATAATCACGTCAAAATTCTCCATTTTCAGTAACTAAATCAATCTGTAGATCGAGTATTGAAACTGGCCATGAGTGTGTTGACGCATTTAAAAAGACGTTTAATGAACTAACACAGTAGGGGTCGATTCCCACAGCGGCGACAATCTTTTCATACTTTTTCTACAAATTTGAACTGGCAGTAGTTTAATAACGAGGCAAATAGCCTCGTAGTCCGACTAGAGGAAGAGTATTCGAAGGCAGGATTCCGCTCACGGCGGCGTTTCTTTTTGTTATTGTCGTTATTAGCTGCGAGCTAAACTCTTGTCTTTTTTCGTAGAGCAGAGTTGGAACTTTTTGTCGGCGTCGCTCCGAACGCAATAGCATTAGGCCAGAGGCGAATAAACATCATTCGGTGTAAAAGTTTATGACATTAGCGGGCTTCGCGTTTATAGGGTTGTCAGTTACTCGCCAGTCGTGGGCGTAGCGGGTCATAAAATGTTTAATAGCGAAGTAGTTATGTATTGGCATTTGAATATTGCGAGTACATGAAGTATGTGTTATCGTATCCAAGTTATATGAATATTATATGGTATCCAAGAAATAAATTATTATGTTCAAAAACAAGGGCAAATCTCTTATATTTTAGATAATTAAGCGGTCACCGAAACGTTTACACTCAACAACAAGAACAAAATTACGATAGCAATTTTTACCGAATATTTTTATTACATAAACAATTCTTTATTTGTTATAAATCGGGGACCTAAAAAAAAGATATAATTCTATAACTGGATTAAACATTTTATATTTTCAATGAAATTTGGACCCTATATCGCTAATTATTTGTTGTATAATTTGTATGCAACGTGGTATTAAACTGTTATAAAAACATAATTTTAATAAAAAAAAAAAAACTATGTTTTTATAACAGTTGGAGAAATTACATTCTCAATATATATATATATATATATATATATATATGGGACTCTGTTTCCAAAGACAAAATACAAAATCTGTCAGTTGATCTTAGTTGAAATCCCTGACTCAAAAAAAACCTTTCCTGTGTATTCTCAACATCATATTTTTCATCTATCATATTTTCATATTTTCATATCTATTTTCATACACAATGGTTTAGAGTTACAAATGGTTTAGAGTTGATTTGGTTGTATTAGGGATGGTTATATATTGCAGTGTTGTGAGCGTAGCAAGCTTTAAAAGCCACTTATATAATTTACGAAACGATTCCTATGCATCCTTACGATGCATATCAATATTAATCGTTTTTTTAAACTGCGACGTGTTCCTTAAAACGGAAACACGTGTTCCATATTCAAACCAAAATCGTAAAAATTCAGACACTTCAGCAGTTATAAGGCGTATGTAAAATATTCCAAATTTGAAACGGCCTCTTTACGCGGTCGTAAACTAATGGGTTTTCTCAAAATATCCCGCGAAAATTTATAAATCTTCAATCAAGTTTCGTCAGTAAAAAAAAAAACATAACACTCCGACGCGGACTATGCTTCCACTTTTCAACCATCTGCATCGTTGAAACAAATCAGACGCGTCCGTTGAATTATGACCACGCGTTCGCCGAGAGCCGGGACAAATACGAGGACAATTCCCGCCATTACGAGGAAGGACGTGTTCGCCGTGGCGCGTAAATCATACGGCGGCCAATAAACTCGGGCACTGACAAATACTCGGCGTCCAGATACTCCGATGAAATGTCCGGATAATGCATTGGAATGGTTGATTAGGCCCTTGAGTTATATTGCTCTATCGTAGAGCCATTGATAAGGATTGCCTAATAAATACCTATAAACCTTATTAATAAAACTCTAGCTTCATCATAGTTTTCTTAAGAGCTTTTTAAGATGATATTACTTACATAATAAAAAATGATAAATATCTGTTGCTACTTAAAACAACAGTCCGCCAATCCGCAGTGGGGCCGCGTGGTGGACTATGCCCTGATACCCCTCCGTATACAGGAGGCCTTTGCCCAGCAGTGGGACATGTATAGGCTGTTACTTTACTTAAAAAACAAGGCAGAAGATCGAAGTAAGATATGAAGTTCCGAAAGTACAGTATAAAGATGTAGCATAACTGGCCCAAGTACATATCGAGTATGTACTTTATATAAACTTGAAAAACATAAAACGTAAGTACAATCTTTCAAGCTGAGGGTCAAAATTAAACCAGCCCTTAAAAAAACATTAGCTATATATTTTACTGTTACCGAATGAAAAAAAGGAAAATGTTCAAAGTGTCGGAAATTCAAAGTGTGTCGGTATTAATCGACTTTAGGTAAAATTTTCTTCTAATGAGGCCTTTTAGTAAGGCCCGGGACATAAATTTCGAAGTTTCGCAAAATCTACGTTGTAACATTTAGTGACATAATCAGCGAGCTTAGACCAAATTCACTTTAATAACTTTATGCTTTAGTCTGTTTAATATTTGAAGTTTACTCGTTTCTAATTATTTATTTTATAATTATTAATTTATTCTTTCACAATATTTATAATATATGTATAAAAAAAGATCGTTTGTACCGTCTATTAAGCCGAGTTTAATTTTTCAGTATTTTTCTTATTTTATTGATTGTGTTACTTTTTGCAACAGTCTTCAAATTTTCATTATATTTCGCGTAGAAGAACATTACGATAAAATAATTATTAAAGACTCCTGCTCTTACTTAGCTTCTTGTCACCTGTCATAAATATTTCGAATTTTCGAGTTACATGTTACCTTTCTACACATATCAGCAATCTTATAAAATAAAATAAATGTATATTTTCTTAAAAATAAAAAAATAAATTTTTATTTTAAATACTATTGAGTTTTTTTTTTTTAAATATGTTATGATTTAATTTACATTACAACAGTACTATTGTTAAAATCATTTGGTGTCTGTTATGTAATATCGTCAGTGTATAGTTTGTGGCTCATTTATAATTATAGTTCCCTTCATACTCTATTGAGAGTCCGCGGTAGCTCCTCAAAGTTTTAATTAAAAAGTTAGCTTTTTCTATCAATATTCGACTACGGCATCCTTCCACATTGTTCACGGACCGTTATGGATGGGCTGAAGTGTGAATTTCTGTGGCAAGGCTAACATAGTTTTCGCAGAGATAATTTATTATTTTGTGAGTAGAATCACGCCTATAAAATAAACTTATACTATACTTCTACTTATGAGATGCAATTTTGAAGGACCAGTAATTATATCAAATAAAGGCACGCTTTTTCGTATACAAATATTTTTAATCGATACAGAGATATAACTAAAACAAAAATGGTAATTATTTACAATCCGCCAATCAACGTTATACATTTAAAACTATTTTATTCGGCAGAGAAACATGATCCTTAAAATAGTGTTAAGAAAGAAAGACTTAAATCTTATCAAACATTTTGTTGACTTCAATACCTATATACCCAAAATTACCGATTAGGCAATGACAATATTCAAACACAGCCAACATAATACGTAAACTTTTATCTATGATAAACATTAAACTAACTTCAAATTATTAAAAATTCAAAAAGATATCTAAAATTTTTTATCGATTTAATAATCGATGAGGAATTAACAAAAAATGTTTAGTTTATCTTTTTTTTATTATTTAAATATACCATAGTCATCAACAAATTGCAGTTTGCATTTTGCGTCAATGTTCAAAGTTTTTCTTTAATTACTTGAGGTAAAGGTCAAGGTCTTCTATGAGTGCATGGTACTTCCTCGGACTTCCTCGGATGAACCTGCCCATTCGTAAACAAGATTGCGTGATTGCGTGATTCTACCACAATCAATTTTCCATATTTATTTATTTTTTATTTAATCTTTATTGCACAGAAAATTGTACAAAGGCGAGCTTAATGCTATATTGCATTCTCTACCAGCTAACCCTAGGTAGAACAGAAACAAAATGTCAAGGGCAGTAAAGTAGTTATATACGATACATAATTAAATAAATAATATGTAATAATTAGGTAATAAATCTAAAAACTGCCAACGTAAACATATATATATATATATATATATAAATATATATACATACATACATACAAACATATATATAAATATACATACATACATATACACATAAATACATTTCAGATGTTCATACATAGTAAGTACTATTAAGTAGCTAAGACTCAGCAAGGATATGCTCAAACAGTTTTCTTTTAAAAATATTTTTTGTTGGCGATTGTCGCAGGTCAAGTGGCAACTTGTTCCAAAGTAAGATTGAAGTGACAGTGAAAGAATTTGACATGAAACCGGAGTGATGAGAGGGTACAGACAGTAACGAATTTTGAGAAGAGCGAAGATTGAGGGAATGCGAGTCCCCGAGGAACTGAAATCTTTCTTTTAGATAGGAAGGTGAGGAGGGGTCATAAAGGATTGAAAAGAGAGTAGAAAGGATACGAAAGTCTTTGCGCTGGCGTATCGTCAACCACTTTAGTTGGTTACGAAAGTGTGACACGTGGTCATATTTGCGCAGCCCAAAAACAAATCGTATGCAATTATTCAGTAATCTCTCCAACTTGTTCAGCAACTTCTTGGGAAATATTAGTAAGACAGACATCAGCATAGTCAAATAATGGAAAAATAAGGGACTGAACAAGAAGGACCTTAGTAGAGGAAGGCAAAAAGGCTTTAAGGCGATATATGGAACGAAGTATGCCTGTTACCCTGCGACAGATTTCAGTGATATGTAGTGACCAGGTAATAGATGGGTCAATAATTAAACCTAAATCCTTAACTCTACCGCAGAAAGGAACAACGCAATCCTCATACTGGACAGGTGGTAAATTAGACATGTCAAGTCGTGAGAGTAGTCGACGGCTACCAATGACAATTGCTTGGGATTTGTTGGGATTTACAGTTATTCCGAAGCGCTTGGACCAGCTTGAGATACGACTCAGATCACCATTAACACGAGAAATTGCGGTATGAATGTCACCAGTGAGCGATTGTGAGTATAGCTGAAGATCATCAGCATAGAGGTGGTAAGAACATTGAAGATGGTTAGTGAGAAGGTTAATAAACAGTGAAAATAAGAGGGGAGAAAGTATGCCGCCTTGCGGAACGCCTGCAGTCAAGTCCGACCAGTCAGGAATATCCTGACCTATCCGTACAGCTTGCTGGCGACCGCGAAGATAAGAGGAAAACCAGTCCAGTGCTGAAGAGGAAAAATTTAGCCGTGAAAGTAAACTAAGTAGCAGATCGTGGTCGACACAATTAAATGCGTTGGAGAAGTCAATAAGGACCAATACGGTCAAGTGTGACTTGTCCATACCTTCCCTAGAGTCTTCAATTACTTTAAGTAAAGCTGTGGTAGTGCTATGGCCTGGGCGAAAACCAGACTGAAACATGCTTAGGAAGTTGCATTCAGAGATGAAAGAAGTAAGCTGTTTATGTACTATTGACTCGAGACTTTTGGAAAGGTACGGTAGTATAGAAATAGGTCTGAAATGAGAAGGAAGAGATGAATTTGTTACTTTAGGTAGCGGTACGACAAATGCTTTCAGCCATGATTTTGGAAAAACACCAGAAGACAGTGAGAAGTTTATGATGTGGGTGAGAACTGGAGCAATTCGGTCAAGTATAGGAAGTATCATAGCTCTGCTCACTTCATCATGGCCGGTTGCTGTGGATTTTATGAATATTACAGCTTTTCGGGTATCCTCGTCAGTCACTGGATGAAAGTGAGAAGGTATACTGGATAACATCGGCATGGAATTGAGTTCCTGTAGAGTAGACGTTTTAATGGAATGACACAAGGGAGAAGCAGATGTAAAATGTTTGTTGAGGTCATTAGCCGAAATACTTAGATTCTGAGAACAGGTATGTGATTTTCCAAATCCCAAGGAGTTAAGGAACTTCCATACGTTTGCCGAAGAGGAGTTTAAAATACTATTGTGAAAGTAGCGGCGCTTAGCAGTTCTTACCACCTGATTACATCGATTTCTAGTACGCTTATAATGTTCAAAATATATACTGTTTCGATTCTTCTTGTAGGCACGAAAAGCCCGGTCCCTTCTTGTCATTGCACTACGCACTTCATCCATGGTGCAGGTGGGCGACACAATCTCACTGCTCGCACTGGTGCGTGCTTGTCATATAGTCCGAGGATTTGTGTGTTCAGATAAGAAGTTTTTGTCGTGATATCATTCATTTCCAGTAGAGGGTCCCAGTCAATGTCTTTGGCATCATTCCCAAGTGCAATGAGGTCGAGCTTGTTGAAGTTACGCACATATGCAATAGTTGGTTTGGGCTTGGGAGGCTTCAATCTATAAGATAACAGTAGCAGATCATGTCTAGAAAACGCAGGAGCAGCTAATTGGTCATAATATATAACATGATCTGTCGAACTGGCACATATTATGTCTAACCACGAATCCTCAGCGTCTATATTGAGATGGGTAGCGTTTAATGGCAGAATCGAGAGATCCGCCGAGTTCATGATAGTTTTAAGTCTGCGAACCAAAGGAGAATCCTTTAATAAGTTGGTATTGAAGTCTCCCATGATTATAATATGGTTGTTGATTGCGCAGACAGAGTCGATAACAGACTCAAGGTGCGAAAAATAATCGGTCGAGGGGGGGCAGTAGACCACTCCGAGCACAACCTTCACACCCTTAACTATTTACC